AACTTCTTTTATACTGCTAGAAACTTTGGTCTCACAATAGCAGGTGGTCGTGTTGTTTGTCGTAAACCGTGAATTATTTCATCACGCCTCTTGCGAAATGTTCAGCTGTGGCTGATAAGGGAAAACTTGTTTAAAAGAGGAAAAGTGTGGATCAGAATGTGGATTGCGAGAAGAAGAAAGGGCTTGTGGAAAATTATAATTTGAAAATTCTGTAGTTATAGAAGTAACAGTATTTCTCGATTGACGATACTCTTTTCTATTTATCCCACTTACACTGTTTACAATACTTCTTTGACATTTTGTTTGCGTTGGTATTCAAGGATATGCATTTCCTTTGCAAATAAATAAATTACGACGAAATGAAACACATGAACATACAGCTAAACCTAGGAATGGTAGGGAATTGTGATCAAAATCAAACCCTGGCTGCAAGAGTGCGTATTGTTAACGCATAAGCTAGGTTCTATATATTACCTCTAGTTAGGGCAGTGTTATTGATTATGTGCATTCCTAGTTTAATTCTGAGATTTAAAATTGCTCTAGGTAGGGCAACTGTAGAACAACTGTACAGTGGACACCTACCTTAAATGTGAGAAACCCACATGTACCAAAAGACACGTAGTTTTCTTCTTTGGAAAACAGACGAAGACTGAAGAAGAACATAAATGATTCTGCTCTTATATTCCAACCGAAGCGAGGGGTTGTGTGGTGAGAATGTGTTGTATACAGTCATCAGAAAAAGTTTGTACGCTTCAGCACCATTGTTTATTAGCCAGAGACTTTGGCGATCAGAGGCTGATATTACAAGTATCCTGCTACAGGTAGCGTACTGCTGGTTGGTAGCTGGCATGCTGAATACTAGTAAATCTTGTCACTGGCGTGCAGAGCAAGTAACATAGCCCCCCCCCCTCAACCCCAATCTGATAAGTGATACCCGCCTACAGTTCCAATACAGGGCAAGATTGAAGCCCTGGCAGTCGAAAACTTGCGGTATTTTCATACAATACAGCAATTCCAAGCAAAGAATGTTTTTACATATTTAGGTAACACGAATGACAAAATTCAGTTTACCATATGTGCTAGCTTTCTGACTATTGAACAGATGGCCATGCTATCGAATCCAGGTTAATTTGGAATGTTGATATAGCTCACGATTTTAAATGTTATTTTGGGGGAAAACGTTTTACGTTTGCAGCCTGTATGTTTTTGTCTGCTTTGAACTTGTCGGCCGTAGCGTAAGAAATTTGCATCGTCGCCGTGTTTTCAAGTGAGAGTTACAAATAATTTCTAGGTAGATCTCCATATAGAATTTTATTAGCCTGAACCGGGCGATTAATCAGCCATCACCATTAAACAGAAATATGGATTTCGTGCAGCCATAATGTTGTTTTAAATTCTACAAAACATATTTTACCAAAGTTGTATATTTTCGAAGACACGATTCCGTAATATCATCGACCCTTCGTATCACAGCCCCTGTTATTATCAGCTGTAGGAAATTAAAATAACAAGAGATTACGATGGCCTCTATTGACAACGTTCACAGCAAATTCTGCACAAAGTTTTTACATAATTGGTTTATTATTGTAACGACGACGATGTACGCTATGTCATTGTTTTGTTAGTTTATATGCATTTCGACCCATTCAGCTATCTTCAGTGCAGTTTTCTGAATTATACACGTAATACACATCTGACCAGATTTCATAATGTATGATGTAATAACTTGTAGTACTGTAATTAATTTAGTACTTCTTAGGCCTAAATCTAATTTTCCGCTTTTATCCGCTACGAATCCGTTTTTGAGAACGCGTACGTACCTGATTTCATGTGAATTCAATTAGGTAATTAAACTCGGCTTTGTGTGCTGTTTTAGTGTCTGAGCGTAAATATACATTTAGTTTGTACCTTAACCTACGACATTACAGTGCAGCGCAGCAGGAAAAGAAATGATCTAAAGTGATTTTATTGATCGTCGGGTTGCCATAAGGCAGTGTGTGAGGGAATGATGTCAAGGTCGCGGTTCACTAGAGGCCCCGATTTGGGTTTTCGGTTTCATGACGAACATTAGTGAAGTACGAAGCTCTTATATCTTATCACATTACATGGGTCACTGTAAGGACTTGCATTAGTATAATTTTTGTGCGCGTTGATCGTATGCATAGTATAGAACTGATTAGATTTCAAATGGCTTTAGCATATACACACACGCTTATAGCCTGACTCTGGAAAATGGTTTACAAAATTCAAAACCTACAGTTAGAGAATACAAATGGTTTTTGACACAAAATACAGACGGAAGAATTGCCTGATTTCTTTGTTGAAATTGGCCGTCGTTTCATAGGCTGTCTGTATGCGAAGGGACAATTTTGTTTCTCATATTGGTAGGTTTGTAAAGGCATGAACAGTTTCGGCAGTGTATGTACAGCACTTAAGACGTCTTCTCCAGAATTTAACCTTTACGAAAGTTGCCAGCGATGATTGTCTGGGCTGCAGGGAATTCCTCCACTAAACATTGTAACCAAGGTAACCGTGGTAACCAAGTTACCTGCGATGAAAGTAACCATAGTCATCAATTCGCCGTGGAATTTCCCACCGTCATTTCCGCGCGCCGAAACTCACGACTTCCCAGAAGACAAGTAATCTTCAGGCTTAGGCACTTTTTTTCCCCAAGTTTTTCAGTGAACTGGCTTAAAAACGATGGGATATGTAGACGGAATATCAGACTCAGAGCACGGCCTCTGTGTCTCTCGTAATCCTCGGATTGAAGGCTCAGTGTTGAATATTATGAAGCAGCTAATGTCTGCCAGAAGTAAGATGTATAACCGTGTATACTGAATGGTTCCTTTTTCTGTGTAGTCATATACACCGCACAAGTCATCGTGCCACAGCTGATTGCTGCGGGTTCTGTCTGTCTGAAGGACATTGCAGCTTCGCTGCACTTCACGCCATACGGTCTTCGTTACCGATTCCGAACTATAAGTGCAAAGAACCAGAAGTGTTTCACGGAGAACAAGTACCAAGTCCGTTTCTGACCGTGCTGCAGAAAGAAGCGTAGGACGATACATAATCGTGTCTGCTTACCCTCGTTGCCAGAGTTACTCGGGCATGTACAGTACTCGTACAAGAAGTTCTGCGAAGAATTTGATTCCTACATCAGTTCAAATGTTAAATTCTGCATGGCCAAGCATGCAAGACTACAAAGTAGTTCCACTACTACTACGTTCAATTTTTCATATGTGGGCTAGCCTTAATAACAGTTCACGCCGTTTGCTTGTTTAAGAATAAGTGACTTAAAAGCCGAAACGTTCTTCCTGTTCGTTTTTTACTAATATTTGGATTAAAATAAGGAAATAACGAGGATGGTGACGATTACGTAATGAGGAATATTCTTCACTGTCCGGTGGCCAGATTGAAGTGGGTGAAATTGTTTGGAATAGATTGAAATGCAGACAAAATGTTTGTCCGAAAACAGGAAGTGAGGAGACCACTTGGTAGACCTAGGTGTTAGGTTGGAGGATAATATTAAAGTGGACCTTTAAGAAATATGAGGAAATAGGAGTTGTGGTGTGGGCGGGTCTCGTAGTGGGCTACTGTGAACGCGACAACGAACCTGTGGGATCCATAAATGGCAGAATGTTTTTTACCTGTCCCAGAAGGTTGTGGTCCATGAAATTGGGTTATTGGGACCCTTGATAGAGGTGATGATGTACTGAAACTTTTGTGATCTTTAAGGTTTCCATATGAGATATTTTTCTCATTGTGGCGCCTGCAAGGGAAGACAAGTTCAGGAAAGTCATATTTAATTAAAAGTGAGGTTAGTTCACACTATAGGGGCAGGTCGCTGTCAGGTCATTTCAGACCAAATATAGAAATTGTTCTTTCAGTGGGAATCTTATGGGTAGGACAAGAAGCAGCTCCCAATTTGGTTGAGGGCGGGATACCTTGGGGCACTCTGAGGGACAATTTTTGTCCGTGTGCCCCAACCCCTAGGTACTTGTCGCCATTTCTAAAGATAGCCGAATTGACATCGGCGGTGTGACTTGATGGCTGACTCCGTACTCTTGCGGAAATAAGTTTTTGTGTTTCACGGGCCTTTGGGACTGTATGAAATTCACCCTCGTTGATATATACTTGTTATGCATCTACGTTATTCTATTTTTCCCCCTTTTCGCAATTTGTTTATAAACTGTTGCCAAAATAAACACTTCCACTCCCGATATGTCCGACATCTTGGTACGTACCACTTTATGCCCTTGTCTTTACTTTTGACCGAGACCTGACCTAATAGTGTGCACGCTCCTCCCAAAGTGTATCCTTGCCTTTCGAAGGCTTGTGCAACGCATGCCACAGCCCTATAGTGTGAACCAGCCCATAACGAAGAGGGAACTGTGTTACGATTTGTCGCTAATATAGTCTACTGCCCTGAGATTCACATACTTAGCGTAAGGAAGTGCCTGGGTTAGGTCATTCAGTTACCAGATGAGAAATACTTTTTGGAAATTTAAGGTTTTTTAATACATCACAATGGGCCTGCACTTTGAGAATAGGCGGGGAGAGAGAAACTGCGTTCAAAGTAAAATATTAAATATTTATGTTTATATTTTATTGCGTGTTTAGGGATGGCCCTAAAACGACTAGCAAATCCCAGACTATTGTGTCTGCTAAATCGTCTCATAACAAAGGAGATCGGACTTTCACTTTCTGCAACCCACGGGGTTCAAAGACCCAGCCAACCGGTTTAGTGTACCTACAGTCACTGTGTAGTGTTCTCATCATGGCAACATGCATGTGCTGTGACAGTGTGTTCTGTTGTTACATAACTCGGCGAAGTGCGCTACATATGCCCTGTTTGAAAGTAGCGAATTACAACATTTATAATGGTGATAAACGTGGTTTATCGTTTTAATGTCCTCCTCTGAATGCCATTGGCAATGGTATTATAACACTTTTGTTTTGTGTTGGACATCGTCTGTTAAATGTTTTTTTTTTATTCACAGCGTTTCGAATGATGGACCTTACTTCGTCTTCAGGTAAAAACTAGGAGATCCCGGATCTGGTGGACTGATCTATTACTAATGCGTGAAGGCCCACCGATTGGAACAGCTCAGTCTACTGGATCCATCAGTCTCCCCTCTTCCTTACCTGAAGATGAAGAAGAGTCATCATTAAAAACGTTGAGATTTAAAAGACGATGAGCCAAGTCAAGCAAGGAAAGTAGTAACTTATTACGTCGCCTAACACGCTAACTGTCTTCTCGTACGAACAAGACAGACCAGATTTTGGTGAGAGCTGTTAGTTTCTCAGCTACTGAAAAAGGCTGTCTCTTGTAACCATGACTGAACCACAACCACCCGACGTGCCTGTCTATAGTTTACCTTCATACAAATGTTAGCATTACGTTCCCATGTACATCCACATTTCTGTAGTAACAACTAGGAAACTAAATGTCACGGTGAGAAATTAATACACCATCTATTGTAGTCTGAAAATTGGAAGATAAGGGGCAAGTATTACGGAAGAGAATATTAAAGGTATGATATCATCACATCCTGTGGTGTAACAAATATTATTGTTATTATTATTATAATTATAGACTAGTTTTATAAAACCCTTTCGAAGAACGGGTATTTACTTTGTGTCAAACCGTATAAGCGTACGCAAACATTTTAAATCAGGGTTTCTCAGCGTTTAAGACCTAGGGACACATTCACCCTTCTTATCGACTCGCGGGCCGATTATTTACTGACACAGAACTTCAATTTATTGAAAGATGATGGTAGTTTATTAAACATGCTTCCATCCTACTGTCTTCAACGGGTAAACGTATTAATCATTGCTTATTTTTAATACTCGTATTATTGCAATTTTTATTGGCCATTCTCTTGAAACTTCCCGCCATAACTTTTTTTCTTATAGAGTGATATAGTGTAACTAAAATGTACGCGGGCCGCAGAAGACACATCGAGTATCCGCGAGTTAAGTACCCCGGTTTTAAGTATTGCTGACCACATTCGTGAAGTGACAGTTCTTGAACCTGTTAACCTCCATTCCTGTGTTTCTGTGCCCCATATTTCAGTCTGTGGATGTTTCATTATGTTACATCATACAGGAGGGGGAAGTGTATGCTGTTAATTCACGGCGTGCAGCACCAGCGTGAGAAAGTGCCAAGTTTCGGTAGAGACGACGTCATTTATTTCCCCTCATGACATGATTATATTGTTCCTTTCTTGGACCGACAGGTGGAACAATGTCGCCATGTTGGAGTCTGCTGCCCAGTCTCTGGTTCCCAGAGAGTCAGAAACCCTATTTGTCTCCCGCAGTAAACTGCATGGTGCCTGGTCTTCTATTAAAAGCTGATAGTTACTGAGCTGATAAAATACATTCTATACTTTTATAGGACTCAGAAATTCAAAGTGTGTTTACAAAAGGTCGTCATTGGGCTCTGCCCTGAGTGAATAGAGCCTAACCTACATTCTCACACTTATTAAATGCATTTTTGTCATTTTCGTCCCATATACTGTCGTTGAAGAGGGAAACCAAAATGTAAGAAAACAAAAATGCCGTGTTGCAGAAAGCCCACTTTTGCATTATTGGCTCCTTGACTATCTTGAAACCTGTCTGTTTAATATTTAAGGATTGAGTTCTTACCTCAAAGAAAACGCATTCCGTCACCAACACAAGCATAAACTTGTTGATGCTGTTTAAGGAAATAATAGCAGTTCACAGTAATTATTATTGCAAATCCGTTAGTACAGAAGTAATTGAATTTTAAAGTAGGTGGTACGTATAATTGCCACCTGGTTTTAAAGGTTTACGAAGAAGTCTTGTGCCTTTGTATAGCCACATTGCATCTGTCTACAGTTATATATAGCTTAACATTTTTTGCGTACGATGATTTATCAAAGCAAAGCGAGTGGATTAATCAGCCGGATGTTTAAGGAAGCGTTTCCATCGCATGCAAATACAAACCAGACATTAAAGAAAGTGATGATGCGCACTTTCGATTTAGTTAGTAGTCTTATTTGGCTATATCGTGTGAACATTTTCAGTGTTCAGCTAGTTTTGTACTCGGTATTCATCTTAATTAAACAAGATTCTTAGGTTTTCATGTGTGGCGCCCAGTTTTGACTAAAGATTTATGTTTTTAAATTAAGTGCAACCAGCGTTAAAGGAACCTGCACAGGGCGGAATTTGTGAAACGCTCTTTAAACCTTTATAAGTCAATGGTAACTAAGTATCACTCCTGCTTTACGTTCATAACTTGCTCACAGAGCGTTTATGGGCTTTATTTGGTTCTCTTAAGTAGGAAGAGATGAACTATAAATCACTAAAATTTGTGTATGTGGTATGGTGTGTTGTCTCAGAGGAAAGAATTGCGCTTTTAAATATTATCTGCGGGAATTTAAAGGTGTTTACTTCATCGGTCCCGTTCATCAGTGTTACGTAACATATGTTAATATGCGAGGCACCTTCCTGTAGAGGCCAGATGGTGGGTGCACAGTTTGCTGCTGACAGTATTCGTATCGTCGCTCGCCTGCCATCTGGGCCCCATACACTCGTACATTTTACAGAATGCGTGTTACAGACCAGCCAATCAGTTCTGTATCACATGGGCTAAGTTCATACTTTTGGTCGGGAAGTCTCAAAGGAGGGAATTGAAGACACAGATAGGAGAAAATTGGTCGAGGCTGCAAGAGTTAATGTGTTCTCTCAAAACACGCACGCATCTGTCCGGTACCTACTCCCATACAGTGACAACTTTGAATGGTTTCTTTTACTTTCTATTTGGCTGTTCAAAACTTCATTTTCTCTGTCCAAATTCAGATGTTCTCAGAGGGATATCATTATTTTTGGGAACACGGACAGAAAACACGGGGCGAAATCAGAAATCAAGAGACGGCTATGGATTTCCCAGTCTGGTCTTTCGAGACGAGTGTGCTGCCACAAACGTTAGTGGATGTTGAGAACTATTGGAATGTTTTTGAGGAAGAAATTAGCAATTAATGAGGTTTTAAGTTTTCACGGAGGTGAGTATGAAGATGGCTGACTGCCTTCTGGGTTGTGAAGTATATAGTTTGGTGGTCGTTTACCGACGTTTCAGAGGTGCTTGCTTCCTCAATCATAAGGATGATGAAGAATGAATGTATATTTTGCTACAACAGAATAATCACATTGTGGCTTTTTTCGCTGTTTTCACTCACGGAGACTGGACGTTTCCGTTGAGTGCTTAACATTTTGTTGAGTCGTACTGGAAGCCGCAATTCATACCACGTAACTGTTCTTTTTTTTCTTTCGAAATATAAGTGTTTTCAGTAGTCTTGATGAAATACAGTGTTTCTTTCCTCAGTGCTTTTAACAATCAGTATACTATATAAGATATTGTAAATGCGTCATATTGTGATTATAAGTATTAAAATATATTAAAAATTTTTGCCGTCAATCACAAATATAATAATGTTAAAAGATTAAAACATCATTTAACGTTCCTCATCGAGTACTCGATTACAATAGGAACTTACACGACTAGTTTCGGCTATAATTTAGCCATCAACGGGTGTTGTGATGTTTTAATCTTTTAACATTATTATATTTGTGATTGACGGCAAAAATTTTTAATATATTTTAATAAGTATACTGTCAATAAAACACCATCTGCAGCCACAAAACAAAAGTAAACTGAATCCCCCCCCCCCAAAACTGTTTAATTAATTTGTCACGTTACTGTACGAACAACTCGCCAGTATTGCCATCTGCTGTACAGAACATAAGTCCAGTTAATAACTGTCTCGGACCTTGTATATATTCGCCACATAATTGAAGATTAAACCGTTTTAAGTTCTTAACGGTTTATTAGTCTCCAAAGCCACTTAAAACATTGTCTATGGTAAGTACACGAGTAATTCAATCCTATAGAAAGAATTGTGTGTATTGTACTGCAACAAGTAATGTTCCGACACCTACGAAACAGGAAGTACATGTACGTGACGGATCGTTATTGTCTAATGTCCTGCTTGTAGTGGGTGCCAGACGGAATAGACATAAACCACCAGGATCTGGCTTTAAGCCCGTATGGCATCATCCTTACTTCACTTAAGACGGTTCATGTGGGAGTCGAAAAGTTTATGTATCTGAGGTCATTTCGTTTCGCCGAGTGTGTGTGTGTGTGTGTTATTGCTCGAGAGACGCAGTATCTGGCAACAAAAATAGCTTCCAGTCTAGTCCATCCAACTGCATGTAAGTTGGTCTGAATAGCGATTACGTAAGACGAAGTAGGCTTATACTAGTGATATGAATTACTGTTAGAGACTCTGTGAACATTCGCCATCTTGAACTCGTAATTTGGCAGAGAAACGAAAGTAATGCGTTATATACCATGGAACATCAGACCTGCGGTGCAAACGAGAATTATATTCGTCTGCTCATCATTATTTGATTAATTGTTCGGAACAAGTTAGAATCTATTCATATTCCACGAGGCTTCTTAGCCTTAATTCCCAGTGGTCAACGATTGGTCGCTCAGATTCGTGATTCTTGAGAAGAATTGAGCATGTTGGTCGTGAGGTGGCAACAGTGCACTGAAAGTGTTTTTGTCACACTGTGCTTTTGCTCTGCTGGCAGTAAAGTGAGCATTTCTTCACGGTGATTATGGAGCTGCATACTTCGCAAGTGGACCAGAAAGCTGATGATACTGAAGTTGTGGTGTAGGTAATCTGTTTTCAGCTTCTTATAAACGACCACTTACGTGAGAAAAGCAAAGATTCAAAAACGAGCACTAACCGAATTTTGTGGGTCTAAGGTTCGAATCTCGGGCAAGATATGACGTTAGTCGTACTTGTCTTGGTCTCCCAAGGCAGATATTGGAAAGGATTTCTGTGAAACATCGTGTTCCATAAAAGGCGGTTGTTTTCACTGCTTGCAGACCAAGCGTTGTGGTATAATATCCCTGCACAGTGACCGACATGGCTCATGCTTGGAGTTCCTGAATGCTTTATACACCTGTTAATTGAAGTTGATTGGTTCGCAAAGGTACGTAGATGCGCAGAAGCGTTTAAAACTCGCCCGCCATCGTTCCTGTGCCTCACTCTAGTACGCAGGAAGTCGCAGGTTGGAATCTCGGCTCATGTATCAATATCCTTATTGAGGTTTTTCTTCGTTTTTCCGTGTCGCTGTGAGGAAAGCGTCGTCCGCATCTTTCCACAGCCAGATCCGTGAAGCTGACAACGTCGATGTAGAGTGATGGAATCTTCCGGCCGAGTCCATGTGTATTTTACAAGAATATATTGTGGTCAAGAAATGTCCTTGCTTTTTACGTGTTTATTAACTCAAGTGCTTGTCATTGGACCGTGTCCCGTGCCGGTTCAATTTAGTTGTCATTGGGAACCCGACTGTAAACTCCCTCAGTCGATGTCTGTGTTTCTCTTTCCACGAGGGGTTTCAGTCAAATATTAGAATGCAGTTCACGTTTCTGTGCGTGTCACACTTCCTGCCTGTGTCATAACTTAATGACGCAGTACTGGCTTAAAAGTATGCGGAATGCACAGTCACATGATTTTCTAGTTTTGTCAGTCCGTCGCCCTTCTCACATTAAAATATTCTCGTTCCACACTCATTAACAGAATATTGCTGCAGTTGATGCTGCATTTGGAGTGGTCAGAACAGTGGGATTCATCCACTTACGATTCTCACAAAAAGAAAGTTAAAAACATTTACTCCTATGTTGCAGTATGTTATTGGCATCACCAAATAGCGTGTTAGACGTATCCACGAGTAGCATTAGAATGGCGGTTAGAAACAGCAACTGGAACGTTGCATTAGACGTTTAGTGGAGCTCTGTGTTTATTAGGACAGTGATTCCGGGGGTCGGCGCCCTGAAAAGAGGTTAACTGCCATCCATGTTCACGTATAGCTTGATTTAGACTAAGGTTCTTGCCACCTGTTAACACTTACCGTGTCGGAAAGCGCTGGACTAGCTTCGTTCTCGGTTGGTTCCAATACCAACTGTCGATCCTGTGTTAGGAGTGCTGTATTTTCCTGTGAAAGTATTCCGCACGCAAAGAACTTTACTTAACTGTGACTGTGTCGGTTCAGTGCACTTTTTAGTCGAGGGATGCTCGTGGGGCGAGTTACAAAAAGGGCTTCCCATGGTCGGGTTGGCATTGGTGCATTGTCAGAATTTCCGTAAACTGCCTGATATTTCGTTTTCGGTAGTAGGTTTGCGACTTATAATTTTGAGGAAAAGTAATTAATTTGTTTTTCAGGAAGCCCTCATTCTGGCAACCAACGCCCCGAATACTTCAAATAAACCTGACAAAGAAATTTTATTTCAATCAGAAGTGATGGGTTGAATACGAAGGTATACTGGGCACAAAATATCTGCTAACATGATCTGCATTACAGTTAATTGAGAAGCGATAAAAGGAAAGGAAGGATAATGCGCTGTAGCTTTCCCTCCCCATATCACAGCTGGCTGGCCACCTACGTATGTGTTTGTAATTGTCAACGTCAGCTCGGAGATATTTTGCGACAAATGTGACGACGCTGTTCGTTAGAGAAGATCACTTATGTCTGGACAGTCTCTCTGGCTGAAGGAGCATAGCTTTTTTTCCGTTTACTGAAAAGTAACTCTTGTTTAATGAATGCATTTCTGAATATCACAAGTTTAAAATGTATTTTCTTTACACAGTCAATTCTGATCAAAACCAGTGAGTCATTATCAACGTACGAACAAACTAGGGCGACGAACACTACTGTGTTAAGGTGAAAACCTGAAATCTCAACTGTACTATGTCACTTTCTCAGACAAGTCTTCTTGAGAAATTCCTTTCACTAAAATTTATTCAGGAATACAGGGAAGTAGAACGAAGACTAGAAACAGTGAAACTCTGTCGAAGTTTTCTTTTCCTCTTTTAATTTTCTTCTCGGAAAGGTGGCAAAATTAGAGCTATTAGAGGAAACACACTGACAAGTTATTTCAGGCGAGCGCATAAAGGGTAATTACGATAACTTCATTCTCACAAGTAGGGCTTTGAGACCTTCGTAACTGATAAAGGTGTCTTATTTGTTTTGCATTATGTCATACATGTAAATCTATTCAGACATGGCGAAAACACGAAATTAGCGTGTCGAAACTGGGAATCAACGGCTGTTGTGAAGAGTCCGTACTGGTATATGCATTTATTTCTAAATCTAAACCCCATGCGTCTTTTATAAATCGAATACAGTTCAGAAACAGATGAAATGTAGCTCTGCTTGCAAAATGATAGGCATTTTAGAAATGTGACTGACAGTTCACGTAGGCTGCTGTTGATGTATGATTTCCTACATTTGGAACAAATATTCATTTCACCGGCTAATACTGTTCTTACATGTGTAATATTTAAGTGTAGATGGGAGAAAAGTGTTTCTGGTATCTGAAACAAGTAGAGGGCGCGTGAGAGCACGGACTGATCATTCATGTTCCATAAAAAATGGGGAATTTCTTTGTCAGCTGAGTGACCATCAGCTTCTCTTCTAAGCCTTCACTTCATGCAGTTGCCAGATGTTACATATATAGCATTTCTGGAATTTAAATTTTTTACTCTGTTGGATCGTGTGTCATTGAGTATAAGGCCTATTTTTATTAGGTTGTGTGTGCTTGTTACGAAGCATCACGAATCTGTAGTTTTGTAGCATAATCTGTTAATTTCCCCAGTGTGTATTCGGCAAATAGGAACCCTAATCGTCCTTCTTTAATACACTACTCAGTCAGAAATTCGTTACTTTGCGTTTCATTTGCTTTCATGGACACGATAATCCCCCCCCCCCCAACACATTGGCAGCAACTCAAAACTAAAAATAAAACGGGATATACGCGCTAGTGCTTCTTGCTACGAGAGTTTTGCACATATTTCACAACATTTACTGTCGGCTATTCCTGTGTGTTCACATTTGTTAGGAAATAGTTTTTGTGTTAACTGGTAATTAGGACCACAGTTTCGTTTGTCACTTTGCCTGGGGCTTGTGAAATCATTTTTCGTGTTTCTTTTTTTTCAAAGCCACTGCATAAAATTTCTGAATCGGTATTTTGAAGTAAGCCATGGCTGGTTTAACGGTCTGTCCACTTCATCTCATTCCATGCCTCCATCACTAGAATTCGTAATAAAATGTGGCCGTAGAAACTGATATTTCGGTAAGCGCTATGCATTTTCATAGTCACTGGGAGAAGGTTAATTTAAAGTTAATGTGTACTGTGCATTGATTGTATCGACATGCATGACAAACACAAATAATTGAGTGTAATTAAGCTTTTGAAGCTGAAGTTCGTCCAAATAATTTTTTTAGAATTCAGTCCGCACCGCAAACAAAATACAACGCTTCACCATTACATAGATAAACTGGTTAGTGTCGTATAAGGAAGTAAACTCTGTTTACACCGAAAATCATAACGACACCAGTAAATTCAAATTGTAGTTACTGGTTGTTAATCCGGTGGTACATACAATTACCACTGGGCTTTAAAAGGTTAAAGATGGTTTACTGTTCCTTTTTGTGAATTGTGGGCATGTTTCTTACACAAAATTAAACTTTTCTTTGGGAGAAACTAACATATAGATGTTTTATTTTCGTTTTCTTTAAGTATCGTGCCCTTAATGAGCTGGGGTACCTCGGTCAGTATAACACTGCTCTGTAAAGGAGGGATTCGTAAACTTTCGTAGACCTGGGGCGACATATACCCTTTCTTACCGGTTTATTAAAATTGGTAAGCTAACCCACTGATTAGTCATTACTGAGAAGTTTTACACCGCTTTTGCTGTTGGGATTCACAAGTTTCATCAAGAATATGCGTCCTTTTTCTTGATTCAATGCTATTAATTGGGCTAGAAAGTTGCTCACAGCAAATGTATCTTCTGACAAACACAGGCGACATTAACAAGACATGCTTTCTGACATCAGGAAACTGTTTTTTGATTATGCATGTTGACACAGTATAAAAATGTACGCGGATGGGTTAGAACCTGGGTGGGCCGCTGGTTGAGAACCCAAGCTGTAAAACGTTAACCCGAAATAGTGTGCAGCTAATTGAAAGGTTTAACTGCTAGTTCTAACAACACGATTTAATTTCCAGACTTAAACGCGGTCTAGCTTATGGCGGTTTGTTGTTTTTGTATCTGGATAACTGACTCGTATTTAAAATGAAAGAGCCTGAATTAGCCTAAGCTGATCGTTTCAGAACGTCCTTGAGAATCAGATAGTCAATAACAAGCTCTGCAGAGTGCTTTCTTATTTGTTGATTTGGAGCTTGCAGATCGCTTGTACTGGTCATATGATGCTGACGTCAATTTTAAGCTCTACAAATACACTACTGGATTTGCGTAGCCTCAAGAACAAGAAAATTAAAAAATATGAACTGAGAAGCCCTTTCCTTTGTGTAACGCTTGTTTTTAACTCATCCACCATAACAAATGATAGCTTGAAAGCTTGTATTTGTTGGGAGATCTGGAGCCATATCAATAAAAATAGAGCAGTAATTCAGAACATGGGATTAGAGTGAATGCAGATACTTGGAGTGCGAGCAACAGTAGCATAGTAGGCTTAACCAAATTGCATGTTTGAAGGCCACTGAAGGACCCCCCCTCCCTCCCTCCCTCCCTCCCTAACGTCTGTGCTAAGCTGTTCGTGCTGTATCGTTGTTCGTATTTTCCTGTGACCTTGAAACATGCAATTCCGTAACGGCTACTATACCTGCTATCTCTGGCCAGCTGAATTCAGTCCACGTCCCATTTATTTAAGGTTTCTGGTCAGTGTCCTGTGTGCTTACAGGCACGCCCTTCTCATCTTGATTTCATCACCCAGATAATATTTGAAAACTGTGATGTACCGCTGATTTTTTTTCAATCCTCCTGTCTTAGATTCGAACATTTTCAGCAGCAGTGTTCTCGGGATACCTTTCTTAGACTGAGAGACCAAATCTCGTAACGCACAGTTTAATGTAATTTCTTTATATTTTCAGATCCGAGCCGAGCAAGAAGGTGCGAGTGACCTTCTTCGAGTCCGAGAAACCTTTGATTGTGAGCTCACCAGAGCCTTCTGACCTTACCGACGACTTGGATGCTTCTGGCATCATTGCAGCCATGACGACATCGGGACCAGATGCTGACCATACGCCACCTTACGCCCGCCAGACCAGGTGAGTTGCCGTTGCTGATACGTGGTTCAGTGGGTGGTACAATTATCATCATACGAACTACGTACCGGTACTTAGACGAAGGTAAAATAAATAAAGAACTATCAGTATACTCAGTCATGTAAACAGCTAATTCCTCAGGACGTCGTGAGTATAAAATTTGTACTTGAAAATGGACGATTTCCAACATAATTGCGCTGTAACTCTTTTTATGTCATTCAAGAAACATTTTGGGTGGGGAGCTTCAGATTTTGAGCACTGCCCTCTTCTGGTTTATTTTGTCTTCATACATTTGAGAACATCGACAAATTGATTTTCCTCACAATGTTCTATTGCGTGTAAATAGAGGTCCTTGCTGCCTCCATCATTAGGACAATGAGTCATTCATTCCTCACGATCTGAATTCTAGATCAAGATCAGCCACTGGTAAACCCTTTCCCATAAAACAGCTTTGGAGTGCTGGCTGAGTCACCTGTAGTCAAGTCAGTTTCTATCTTGATTTGGTAGTCTTGCGTTGGCAGTTCGTTGCGTCAGGAAAGCAACATAGGAATATGTGTCTGTTTTGAAACGAAATAAAATATGCCAAAAAAATCGGTTAGTTTTTAGTGAAGAAACCCAGTCCTTGCGTTATTAATACTGATGTGATTTTCAATTCAAGGACCTGCAGTTTACATGATGGCGCTGTATTTCTGTAATTTCAGAAACTGTGTCAGTAATCTGGCAAATTACAACTTTCGGATAGGCTACTTTAGAAATACCGCCATACTACAAAATAGGGTACTAAGATAAGTAATTATTTAAATATAATTTTATGTAGGCGTTGCATAAATTTTGAAGAACACATGAAGACAAAAGTCTGAACTGAAAGACGGCATACAATTGTACGTAATCAGGAGCTGATAGTCGTTACGCTGGTGAAGAAAGTGTCTTACACGGAACCCAAAGGTTAATTATTTTTTTCGCAGGAGCCCGCCACTAGGCCACCTGAATCCAGTCCACACCCCAATCTGTACAACAACCATTTACTGATTCGTTAATTTTCTTAATATGTTGATCACAATCATCACGATACCGCACTAATAAAGTGATGTTAGGAGGAAATTGTGTTCTGTTAGATATTCGTGCTGGCTGGTGAACTTTCTGTACAGCAAGGTAGTTCCTACAAATGTCAGCGAGTTTGGCATTTTCTCTGATATTAAACCGCTATGCCGATGTATAGAATGCAGCAGAAAATGGGAACAGAATTGCCGTGGAACTCTTGTGTACGTTTGCTGATATGGACTTCTGGGCATACCTGCCTGCAAATTAAAAGTTTGTTTGGTTATGATCAAGGCTTGTGTTAACTGTCCTTATTTTCGTGTTTCTCATGTTGGCTGCACAAAGCGGATCTGACGTCAGTCTAGATGCAAGTTTCCTAGGGGATCTGTTATTTCGTAGTTCGGTTCATCCATTCAGTTACCAGTATTTTTGGATTCTGAAAGTTTAAAACTGTGTACTGAATTTAAACCAATTCTTATGCCTGATACGTAGATCTTGGAGCTTGCAGCGAGACCATAGGAAGTTACAGAACTGATATTTAGAAATTATGTTGACCGTTTAAAAGGCAGGAATGGGTAATGTTTGTTCTGGCCTATGAAGTGTCTACGAACTTTAATTCTTTGCATATTACCTATCGATTATTACATTCTGTACACATTTGTCACCGATTATCGCCGACCTGTTAATAAATTAAGATTTAGTATGGCTTCAGTTAGAAGCTTTCATATTTAAATTCGTTCAGTTCCTGAATTGTTACATTCAGCGTTAAGTTTTGTGCCTATGTTTACTTATCTCACTTCTTCTCTTCACAAAAACTCTCTCTCCTTCCTTTTATAACTTTTTATCATTTATTCTTACCATATCCATCGTATTTATGTGATACACGCGTCTTATAATGAATACATATTTAACTTTACTTTGATGCCCAAAGTTGAGGCTATTCATTCTTTTGCTGCCCTTAATTAACCTTAAAGAATTAATTTCTACCTACTGTACAAGGTGCGATCGGAAAGTTTCTAGACTGCACCTATAAAAACCCGTACACTTATCTCAGGTATTAAATTCATCCATCACCCTCGAAGTAGTTCCCCTGGGAGTGAACACAACGATCCCAGCGCCGCTGCCAAGCCTGGAAGCATCCCTGGAAATCTTTCTTTGCCAGCCTGTCAAGCACCATCTGCGATTCTGCCTGAATCTCTTCTATCGTCTCAAATCTCCATCCCTTTAGCTGAATTTTCATCTTTGGGAAGAGGAAGAAGTCACACAGAGCT